AAAAGCACTGAAATGTCAGAGCCTTCCACAGTTGATCATGGAGTAAATATCTTCTCTATTTCAAAACAGTTCCAGCCAAATTAGCAGCTATAGAGACCATCTAACCTGATTAGTTTACAAACATCACCATCTGACAGGAGGTGATTATACCCCTGCAGAGGACAACAGCTGGAGGACAATTATGCACTTTTATTTATGTCAATACACCGATACTGATCCAAAAGTTTTTTATTAAATCTGTTATATGAAGTCTTCCAACACTTTTCTTTCTTCTTGGTGTTGGCAAGAAATTAATTCAGCATCAGCTGTTTCTGCAAATGTCCCCAGAATCTCATTTGGATTAGCCAAACGAATAGGTCTGGTGGGTAGCTAAATATTGAGGAAGTAGTGAAGATTTTACTGGGTGACAAAGTCCTGGAACCTTAAAACAGAAGATGTGACACCACAAAACACAAAGCAGGAAATGGCAACAAATAGGAGTGTCGTTTTCCCAGAGCTCATGAAATGATGCACATCATGCTGTGTGCTGTTTTTTAACGACATAGATGTTCACCATCTTGCTGTGCTTTGATTAAGATGTGGGGATACATAATATCCATGTCCATCGTGTCCATAACAGATGACAAAAGACAGGGGTTCCAACTTTAACCTGCCATCTGTAAAACTTGAAAGACCAATTTGAGATCCATGTTTCCATTGTAGCTTAGCAGAAATAATACACAAAGCAACATATCCTTTTTATATTGTCTATTTTGCTCTTGCTTGTTATTTCATACTTTTCTACTTAACTCTCCTGTCTTTCATTTAGAAGAATAATCCACAGGAGCCGTCATTTTTTCGGTGTAGATGTTACAAAATATTCAGAGTGAAAAACTACAGAGTTGAATACAGGCATACTTTCATCCTCAACATTAAGTCAGACCAAACTTTTCCTGTTTTAGGTCAGTCAGGATTGTATCATTTTATAATAACAAGAGAGATTCAGTCAGAAGGTTTCATATTCTAAGATTTATATGACTCAAAGCAATTTGGAGAAGACCAGACGAAGTCATGGCTTCATAAGCTTTTTAATCAAAATGATATTATTTTAACAGCAGTGGGCATATCTGCTTTAAGCAAAATAACTTATATCAAGTTATACATGTTTGTGTTAATGCTCAGATACACGTATTTTTACTCAATATTATAAGACTGTGAGATACAATATCTACCCACGCCTGCTACACAGTACAAAATGCAAACGGCAACCTTTACATACATTCCTACAATATCTCACAGCTTCTAACTATAGATGGTAATAGGTTTTCAACCTTTGATTAGCCTTGATTTCCTATAGAACAACAACTTTTTCCATCTCAAGCCTTTGGCCATCATTTCTATACTAAAATAAAGTTTTTTTCATAAACTCTCATCCGGAAAACTGCAACAGTGTCTGTTTGGGTTACCTAATGACGCTCTGGAAGTGCTCCAGCAGATCCAAACCTCAGCTGCCAGGTTTCTCACCCACACCAAACCTTGGCAACACATCACTCCAGGTCTGATTCAGCAACACTGCCTTCCAGTTAGGTCTCAGATCTGTTACTAAATTCTACTTCTCACCTACAAATCCTGTCACTGCCTTACACCTCGGTGCCTCTTTGACCTCCTTTATCCCTACATTTAATTTGAGATTCTCAGATCGACTGGAACTGGACCACTCTCCATCTGCCACACAGGAATGGATACTTTAGGTGGCAGAGCTGTTAGTCACTAAACCTCAAACTTCTATAATCCTCTTCCTGTCAACCTTCGCAAAACTTAATCTCTGGATATACAAAAAAAAAAAAACACTCCCAATATCCTCTTAAACTTGACCCTTGACTGCCTGTTTTATGTTTTTATTCTGGTCTTCTATGTAAAGCTCACTTTGGTTGCTTTAAAAGTAGAATATAATTTATTATTTTAATGCTTATTAATATTTAAGTATGTTTTATGTGTGCATAGATTAAAAAGCCACAAAGCTTTTACACAAATGTAAAAGGTTTTCACATTCAAAATTAGTGCCTATACATTTATATCTCCGAATGCACGACAAATGGAAATGTGTGTAAGTCAGAGGATTTTATTTCATAAAAAGCAACATAAAAGGTGCTTGGTGCTCATCTTAACAGAATAAATGTGGGTATTGAAAGATAATTAAATCCTTCCTAGACTCAGACAACTACTGTACAGTTTAAATGGCAACTTGTCTACTCCTCTGGTGGCGCTAAAATGCAACATGCCATGAAAAAACCTGTCCATTTCTGGTATTTTCTTAAAAATAAAAACAGACTGAGATACCTTTTTTACCAAAGTAATGCTTACTACATCTCCAAATATTTTGTCCCTTCTACATTAATAAGGATGAAAATAAACTGACATTTAACTGCTCCCAATTTTATAAACAATAAAATATCAGTTTGTGCCCTGAAAATGTTAAAATAATATGTACAGTAGCATTCCCTTCCAGATAATCTGTGAGAATTAAAATTACTTCAAAGATTTACATGCTTACTGATTTGATAGAATATGAAACAACACACTGTATGTTAATTATTGTTGTGCATAGCAATCAAACTACAATGAACATAGCTGTGGCATGGAAAGAAGTTTCTTTGATAAATGCATGTAATATTAAAACCACTAAATCATTAATGACCTTGAGAGCTTGCTGGTGCTGCTTACTACTGCAGCCCAGTGAGTCTCGTCATAAATGCCTCAGACCCCCTGAGTAAAAGTACAAGCCATTGATAAAGATTTTAATCTTTGATTTTTGCATCATTTGTTTCAATTAGAGGGGATCCCTGCTGAGTACAAGACAAGTACAGTGACTTGAAAAAAAATATGTAGTAATCAATTTTGTATGAAAAAATTCTAACCTGTGGAAGTATCCCTCCATCAGTACACGAGCAAAAATGCCCTAGAGAAAGGACAATCAATGAGGTGAGCCTAAAAAGAAAGCTGGTTTGGCTTATGAGATTTTCTCATCGTGCCATCATTAAGAACTTGGCTCTTTAAAAAAAAAAAAAAGAAAGGGCTCAGAACAAAAATTGTTCAATCTGTGTGTCATCTTCAACATTTCTTTATCTCATTTACTTTAACACCAATACAAATGTGCATTCGCTTTTTCCCAGTAGGCTCAATTACTTCAAAAATGCCCTTAAAACATGCAGCTCCTCAGCCATAAAACATTGCATCATCATTAGCCAATCGCAGGCGGGCAGGATTCATGGGGCTTTGTGTGGCACAGTCCTGGGGAATAAGCAGGTGGATGTGTACAAAGCTGTGACTTCACCATCGTAGCGAGATCTGATGTGTGCTGCGGTCAGTAAAGAGCTGCATTAATAGCTTAAACCAACAGTTTGGTAGTGAACAAACATTTGAACCTGGAACTCATATTGTGTGCAGTGTGATCCAGCATAAACAGACTTCAACAAAGACAAGAATAGGATATGAATCAATAAAGGTCATGTCCCTGCATCTCAAATAAATATCTGATGGTAGATGGATATATGACCCAGTGCAGATCATCTGTATTTGCTTTATTACCTGAAAAGATGATATTACGAACAGGCCAGCTCTGTAGCTAGTTTCAAAACACCACATGCCAACTATACACCATCATCTCCCACTTTTCTTCAAACCTAAAATTACTAAATGGGTGTCCATTTTCATTCATCCTAGATAATACACACCTTTACAGTATTCAAGATCAACCTTGAACTGATATTAAATAACTTTAAAGAGTTTTCTTTCACAGTCAGTCGAATGAGTGTGTTGTACATGTTGTCGGCAGCAAAATCCAGACATAACAGCTCAAAAAAAAAATCTCATTTTAGCCAAGAGATCTCGGTCACCCTATGTGCAGCCTTGTCTGTGTCCCCTGTCTCTAACAGATCTCCCCTTTCACATGTTATGATGTTTTTTAAGCATGCAGGCTTAAGAGACACCTATCTCAACCCTTGCAAGCCGTTTAGTAAGCATCAATTTGGCATAGCCATGATATGGGATCAGAAGATAGATACACAAGAGTGTTGGTACAAACCTCAGCTGAACATGCTTGGTGGAACATGGATATATGAACCTAAAAGGATTTAAAGACTCTGCACAATGGCAGCATTATGATGAGGAATAGCTCTCCGGTGGGCCAGTTCTGAGATTACAGCTCAACTTCTGCTTAATCAAATCTTCTATGGTTCACCCTTGAATCGCCAACTGCTCTACAAAGATGCTCCATTCTGCAGTTACAGGAAGTGAAGAAAACCTGGCTTTGCAAATGCAAACAGCACATTTCTTCACTCACCATCTTGGGAAAGCTGAGACTGGTTTGACAAATTACTGCCTTGTTGGTGGCTTGAATGCAATTAGATTGGTCCTTGGCGGCATTATGTTCAATTAGTACTTTGAATTGCCAGCAACAGTAATGACAGCAGGTCAAAGCGATTTAAAAATCTCCTTTTTTTCATCCTGGCAAATTATTCCAAACAGCTGTGGTTCTCTAGGAAGAGAACATCCAGCCAAATTGTTCATGTTTAGGAATAAAAGGCTCCCATGGGAGCATATTCAGGCTAATCCATCTCAATCCTCCTGAGACAGACAATGACTACAGACACAATTCAGATAAAAACCCACAACTGAATCACACACAGACACATACAACTCTGGACATTGCAAAAGGCTCCATGTCTGCAAGTAATCTGAAGCTCAAACAGATTTTCCTGAGTTTACACATATAAATGAGACAGTCAGAGGAAATAACTCAAATAACTGGATATCAATAAAAGGTAATTTACAAAATAGCTTCTATGCTGCAGCTAAATAAGATCAAGAAAGCTCATTTAACACCAAACAGAAAAATCCCACAAGAAGACAAGTTTTTACTCTTCTACTGTTGATCTCAAAATCACACCATGCTGATCACATCCGTTAGACTAGCAGCAAGTTGCGGCTGCCTGAATCTGAACCTCCGCATCAGAACTTACCCGTCCATTTACGAGTAAACCATTTTTTTATCTTCTGTTCTTTTGAACCTCCTTTCATTCTCTCCCCGTCTTTCATGACTTCTCTCTTTTGTCTCGCTTCCCTTCTAAACACCGGCTACGAGACTGTCCCTTGGTGAGCAGCAAGCGAGGGATGAAAGAGGAGGGGAGGAAGGAAAAAGGTGAGGGGAGGGAAAGAAGTAAGAGAGTGAAATTAATGTGGATGAATTCCCTGAGCCATGTGATGCTGCCTCTTCCTCTGAAAAGTCTTCACTCTTCACTTCACCTCTAATTATGTCTTAGGTGAAGGTGTTTTCCAATGAATTAAGCATACTGTCTCACATTCTTACTTAAATTTAACTCCTCCATAATATAATTTTACTCATTTTGCTGAGATTTTTCTTGGCTCTGTCCAGGAAGTAATTTTCAACAAGGTTGCAAAACTTCCTTCGAGATTAAAAGAGGAAAGAAGGGGATTGAAGATAAGAGGTTGGATTGAGTTCCCAGGGGAAAAGCCAGAGCATCTCTTTAAAGATAGACCCACCCATTCATCCACTTATAATACACTTTTATTGAGAGGCAGAAAGGCTTATTTTCTTTTGAAATTCACAATATTATTTTGTCTTTTCTGTATTATTTTTTTTACACCCACACACGCCCATCGGAGCACTTTAGTTCCCAAAGGTTTTCCATCTGGTTGACAGCAGCAGCTGCAACCACAACATGAATCCTCACACTTTGCTCTTATCTACACATAAAAAAACAAAAATCTGTCACTAGTCCCTCTCTCTTCCTTACACACAATCACACCCACTGACACCACCTGCTTCTCCAGTGCTACTTCTGCTCTCCACCATTTGTTGCTGCTCTCACACATGGTGCCTCTACCCAGTGTTTTTCTTCTTTTTTTTTTTTTCATACCACCTGGTCTTCATTAAGCAACCTCACTGCTCACACCTTATTGCTAACCTACTACCTGATACCATCTACCAGCATCACTCTCCTCAGGTGATGCTGCTCTCTACGAGCCTCTAGCCCAGCCCCCCACCCCACCTCTTGCCTCCACAGAGTGTAGCAGGAGGACAGCCAGCTGGTTAGATGGCATGGCACTCGGAACCAAAGGAAATACCTGCTACATAAACATGCATAGAGAGAGGGTTTAACATGCCTTGGGATGGTGCATTGCCCATGCTGCGACACGGACGGCTGCAGCTGAAAGTGATTGCGTTTCCTGTTCCCCCTCCTCTTTTTTTTCCTCCTCTCCACTCCTCCCTCCTCCTGTTCCTTGCTTTCTCTTCTTCACAAAGCGCTGTGTCTCTCCTTCCTCAAGCCGGTCCTCTTCTCTCCTATTCGTTCCTCGCCTTCTACCGTCCTCCTCTCCTTTGTCTCACTCTGGCTCTCTCTTGCCTCCGCCGGAACCTCCTTCGCGAGATGGCTAAGGTCCAGCAGCGGCGCTTTTGACAACACTGCGCGTGTGTGACTCTGAGCACGTGTGTGTGTGTGTGTGAAGGTGGGAGAGCTGGCGTGTGTGTGTGTGTGTGTGTGTGTGTGTGTGTGAGAAATGGAGAGAGAGTGAGGAAGCGATGGGCGTACTCTTTGAGCTTTTGGAAGACTGAGCATGCCGGTTCAGAGATGCTCTGCACACACACCGTAGAATGAGACAAAAAATTATTCCCAATGATAAATTTACACTCCCTCACCCACTCTATCTCACTTGCATTTCCCTTTCTTCATTCCTCCTAGCTAGACATTATACTCTCTCTCTCCTCTTAAAGACACAGGCGTTGCACTGCATTGCTACACGCCTGAGGCACATCTCATGATATGGTGACAGGGGGGAGTTCAGGAACATGGTCCTTTACGGGGCTCTACGGTAGAGCTTGCAGGAGGAAAGAGGGAAAACGTTTGAAGCATTAATAGAGGGCGAGGATCAGAGAGGGCTTCCGCTGGTGATTTGAGAAAAGAAGGATTGGAAAGGAAAATTAGAAATATCCCGTTGTGATAACAGCGGCTAATGATGAAGCAGCGCTGGCCCAAAGGTGAGGTTGGAGCTGATTGTCATGGCAACCACAGATCCAGAAAGGATGGCAACACGGGAGAGTAACCTCAGCATCACTGTGGCAGTGACTCTGTCCTGCTGTAGCAAAACTATCAACAACAGACACCAACAATCAGAATCCTTAATTAGAGGATGTTACCCGCTATTCAAACGGGCCTTTGATTAGAAAAAGCAGCAACGCTCGCATGAATTTATGATAAAATGTCAAATATTAAAGACAATAAAACACTACAGGTTGCTTGAAGAACCAGAAGGAGCCAGGCTAATTCACTCAGACAAGGGATGAAAGGTTTAGAAAACCCTGCGACATCAGCTCCCTCACATTATGCAAGTCATTTTGGTTCCTGAACATGACCACAGAAGCTACTTTGGTCTAAGATCACGCATTAACTTTTCTGTCATCTTTAAAAATTGGCAGATATTTTCTCAAGATACTGGGTTTCTACATGTTATTCTGAATAAAATTACGTACATTTCCAGACCCGAATTTGTTCTCACTCCTTTAAAAAAATAAAGAACTAGAGATGCAATAAAATTGTTGTCATTTCATGGCAGATGTTTCTACAGTGGTCAGGATTTAAAACTGGTTCCTGCTAAAACATTCAGTTGGCTGGCTGGATGAAAAGACGAACTGACAGACAGAGAGAAAGATGGACAGATTGACAGATGACTGAAGGGTCTAGAGGTCAGAAAAAAATGTTTGGTTTTTTTTAATGCACTGTTTTCTTTTTTATAAGTATCCAAATCTGGAAAACATTTAAGCCAAACTCTGTGCTTTTCCAGACTGTGTTGGAACCCTGGAGATAACATGAGCTTTGTTTTCTTGAAAGGTGAAAATACTTACCATCATAGGACTCTTGGATAACCTTCAAGCAAATTCTGAGAAAAATTTCTTCAACTTCTATAATAATCTGTATCTAAAACACTACCTTTTATATCTCAAAACAATGGCGTAGTTAAAAGCTTTTTCATGACAAAACCAGCTTTATTATTATACAAATTAAGTGAAATGCCTCGTTTTCTCAAGATAATATCAAAGTGAATTTCAAACCATATCCTATAAAGCCAACTGGCCTGACAGAGGCAAATGGTTTTAAAGATCAAGACAAAACAAGGTGGAAAGAATAGTCCACTATGTTACACATGTCATTCCCTAAACACCAGTAACAAACAGTCTCTTGATATTAGAAATATAGACACAAGCTCAATACACAACGCCAACGTATTCTGACTGCAGGATGTAATTTGGACTTTGTCAGGTAGATTTTACTTTAACCAGTGCAGACATGGTGTCGACACTAAAGACACTAAAAACTAAGGCCTGTGACAAATCAGTATTTGATGGCTTGGGAATGAGGAGCAATTGTCCATTCCAATGACAGCTGAAAGCAGCAAAAGAATTAAGAAGTTCAAATGTCGGAGATACAAAGAGAAAAGAGGACGGATAGTCTCTACAGTGATGAGAATCATGAATAATTTATAATCATGCTGCTCGTCACTTACGTAGCACCATGTCCAGCTGGTTCAAAGGCTCGAAGAAAGAATCCATCCACCTGTCAGCTGAAGACTTTCCCAAAAATCCCAAAACCGGACAACAAAACCTGCAACAGAAAAGTCTGCAAGTAAAAGTTGACAAAAGTATATGTGGTCTCCCAGAATTTTGCCTGTGGATATTTACCCCACATCCACTGTCTATATTTTAAATTTGGGATCCCGGTCTGTGTGTCTGTGCCTACAAAAGTAATGATGATTTACAGAAAATTGTAAAGTCAATGTTTTCTAATTTCCATTTCAGATTATAAACAACATACTGACATGGATTACACATTAAACCCCAGTTCACACAGTGAGACTACTGTCCTCATTACTTAGGAAAATAACAGCAGGGCCTGTGTAGGGCTGGTGCTTTGCAGGGTTCTGCATTTTACTCAGTTGGAAGCACCTCATTGCTAAGAAGCATCTTGCTGAGTAAGTAATTTTAGGGAGTTGATGAGCCCACTTTGCAACAGTTTTCTCGTGAAATGAAATCTGCAGTTATATTTTTGGCTCCATATTGCAGGGAGAATTATTAGGATGCGGAGTTGGAAATTGAATTTATTTTTCATTATACCATTTTTTGTTCCTGGAAGAAATTCTTGGGTCATCCCTATAGAGAAGCAGGAGCCTAGTTTGCTCTGCTTGTCCTCCTTCCTCTTCTCCATCTCAGTAGTGCGAGCTCATTGACCTAGAAATCTTTCAGCACTTTCTCTGGCACAATAGATCTGCACTCGCTTCAGTGGAGTTTGGCTCTCTAAGGTTATGAAAAGGGGTTAGTGCATTTGGCAATGACAGTGTGCCTTGGATATATTAATATAAAGTATAGTGTGCAGGGCAAAAAGGTGTTTTTAGTGTACGCTGGATGAAAAACAGCAAAGGTGACTCTCCTAGCAAATCAATCATGTAAACGCTGCATGTGAAATGACAGGCAAAAATGCATGTGTGTCAGGGTAACCTTCAATTCAGAGACCACTCAAAATACCACTTCTGATTATGTCGCATTACAACCAGAACCTTTTGACATATTTTATTTAAACTTCAATACAGACAGACCAACACAACAACGTATATAATTGTGAAACATAAGGAAAAGGATCCATGATTTGTTTTTTCCGACTTTTACTTGTAGAATAAAAATTTCCACAATTCTTCTTATACTTTACAGTGTTTTGACACTTTGTGTTGGTCCATCATATTAAATCACAAGGGAATACTTTTAAGTTTGTGATTGTAATGTGAGAAAATGGGGAAAAGTTTAAAGGACTATTTTATAAGGCATTATTTTAAGTCCTCTAAATCCAGCTCTTTGGTACAGTAAAATAATTTTCTCACCCCTCTTTATCTGACATTTAAACCAAAACTGAATGTTTTCCAATGATTAAGAAAACAACTTTTAAGCACCTAACTATTTTAATACCTTCTGTGGCATGTCTTCTGTTGTTTTCACTTACACCATCTGTCCCTGTGGAAATAATAAATAAATACATTTAGAGTCAGTAAGCCAAATTCAGACTACTGCCAGAAACTGCTTTAGATGCACAGCTTAAAAGCAGCTTTAAGGTGTGTAGTCTCGCTGGGTTTTATCATGTGGTTAGAAACTTGTATGAAACTTCACACTAAACAACTTAAGATGAAATGTACGTGGGTTTTTAAAAAATTACTATAATGTATTCAACTAACTTTGAACACTATTATGCAACTTTCATAATAACTATCAACTACGCTGCAATAAACAAGACGATACGCACCTGTTTTACTTTCGAACACATTAGTCTGTTGCAGTTTCTCTTTTCCTTTAAAACACAAGTGCTCTACTTTAAATGTGAAAATTTAACTTTAAATTAGAGGTGCCGTTATTCTACAACGGCACCTCTCCTCGTGCTCCATCCCCACAGCTGCTTGCTAATTAGCTCACAGTTAGCTTAGCACAAAAAAAACAATACCTACCCCGAATATGTAAAAGTGCAGAAACATTTGATTTGAAATGCTGTTTAAACCTGACGTGTGTCAAATCTTAAATATATATTCTGACGAGCGACAGTTAGGCTAACAGATATCCGCTTTTTACTAAACGTTATAGAAATAATTTCCCAGTGTGTACCGAAACTTACTCTGGTTCTGTTGTTCAATGTTCCGTTAATGAACCTTTCTCAAGACACATTCCTAAACAGTTTTACTTCCCAGTTACCATGGGGCTTTAATTGAATGAAAAAATTGTCTTTTCAATATTTTGTTTTACAAACATTTTACAAAACATGTTTAATAATAACGAATAGTCATTAGTTTTTTCTCATTCTTAAATCCAAAATGCTGGGATTTGCACATTTCGCAACAAATCCTTGGTAAAAAGTAAATAATAATAATAATAATAATTTTTTATTACATCTTATTTTCTTTTATTCCATTTTATTTTATTATTTCTCCGTTGTCTCACATTTACGGAAGATGATTGCGGCCACTGGAAAAAAAAATAAAACAGTTCTCACTTTAATCTCAGAATTCTGAGATTAAAGTCAGAATTCTGAGGAAAAAAAGTC